GGCGATCAGGGGGTTTGGGCGCTGTCCCCTGTCATGCTGATCCCGGTGCCGGGAGCCTCGCTGCTCCGCTGATCCCGGTGCTGGGAGGCATATTACCCTTTTACTATATAGGATAGAGGCCTGGTGCATGGGTAGGGGCTGGCTGGTTTGCCCTGAAGGGTGTCCTGGATCAGGGTGGGGGTCCCCACTGGGGTGCCTGGCCAGTCTGGGTGAGGGGCTGAGGGCTGTTTTCCGGCTGGCGAGTGACTAAAGCTTCCAACCGCTCCTTGTTTTCTTTTCTTTTTTTTTTTTTTTTCTGGGCCAGCTTTAGCTCTGAGGCCTCGCTGCTGAAAACATAGATACAATGTTGTGGTCCGAGCCCGGCTGAATGGAAGCCCTTTTCTGGGGTTTTGTTTAGCTTCTTATTTGCAACATAGTATATAGTTGCTTAGAGTTGCAACTGAGAGGCTGGCAAGTTAGGCGTTGGAGTCCGCAGTCACTGAAGCCAGTAAGCCTTCCTGTTCGCTTCAGTGCCTGGCTGCCGGCCGCCATCTTGGCTGACAGTTAATTTGCATATACTCACTGATTAGCCAATGAAAAGGGTAGCGGTCGTACGCCAATTACCATGTTTCTCTTTTATTAGTGTAGATACTGTGGCTAGGTTTTCAGATTTCCTATTTCTTTAATTACTTGCAAATAAGTCTCAGAAGCAATAAATGTCGTACTTTTCTCTGAATGTCATTTTAGAATAAGATTATCTGAACCATGTATGGTGTAGAAAGTTGATCCAAACCTGACTGTTATGAACTACTCTAGTAATTGGTTTACAGTTAATTTTATAAAACATTTAAAAAATGTACAAGAGGCAGAGGCAGTGTTTTCATAACCATACCATATGTTCAGAGCATTTATTAAATCTATATCAACAACAGTAACAGAGACTCTGATTTTGATTCATTGGTGTTGACTTTCTATACCCCACTACCATATGTGGTGTTAATTGCTTAAATTCCACTATCACAGTAAAAGTAGCTGCATTAAAATTCTGTCATTTGGTTTGGTAATTTTTCATTCTTGCTAAGGGACTCGACAACCTTAAAAGACTTATGATTTTCAGCATGAATCTTAGAATCATACATCTTATATACTTAAGATGTGTTTGATGAAGGGGAAACGCATAGCAGAAGAAGTTCAGGACAGCGGGGAGACTCCCCTATGATAACATTCCTCTCTGTCTTATCTGTTTGTTTGTTTTCTCTGTCACTAGAACTGGGATTCTAACCTTAGGGAAAGCCCTGGACAGGGAGAGCACCGATCGCTACATTCTAATCGTCACTGCACACGATGGGAGGCCAGATGGGGTGAGTACTCTCCCTGGGAAAGGGTTTTAAAAATAGTATTAAAGAAACTGAGAGAACCTTGTAGTTTTACACTTTAAAAAATGTATCACTCTCGTGAATTCATGAATAAATTTCTCTCTCTCTCTCTCTCTCTCTCTCATATTATAATTACTCAAAGTGCTCTTTTCTCCAGTAGGCTCCTTTGCTAATAAATGAACCTATACTCTTAATCTGTTATGGTGTTAAACAACTTTTGACCTGACAGAATAAATACCTGTGTTTGACATTCTTACCCAATTTATGGGGAACATGAAATCTAACATAGTCTGGGAAGTATTCAGTTATGTCCATCAGCAACAGAGCACTCTGGGAATTTTACTATGTTGGAACCTGTTTCCTTTAATGTCACTTTGTGGGGTGGAGAAGTGTTAAAAGGGAATTTGTGGATACATGCCTTGAAGCACTTAGGAAAAGAAATTGATTCCACAGTGGATTTGTAAGCAGCACTCAGAATCTGTACTAATCCTTGATGATTGAAGTGGTTTAAAGGGACCCTTAAATCTAGAGAATATAAATTTTATTTTTTCTGCTCTCAAATTAGTTTTAAGAATAATTAGTTGAGTCATTCTGAATTGTTTTAAGAGAATTCAACTGTATTCTTTTTTTTAAAATATATTTTATTGATTTTTTACAGAGAGGAAGGGAGAGAGATAGAGAGTTAGAAACATCGATGAGAGAGAAACATCGATCAGCTGCCTCTTGCACATCTCCTACTGGGGATGTGCCCGCAACCCAGGTACATGCCCTTGACCAGAATCGAACCTGGGACCTTTCAGTCCGCAGGCCGACGCTCTATCCACTGAGTCAAACCGGTTTCGGCTCAACTGTATTCTTTAAACAATGCCAGGCACAACCACCACTATTCTGATTTTTAAGCATGGTAACATATCATTAGACTATTTTTTCACCATTTCTATTCCATAGCTTTTTGTCTTTGGGGGTTCTTTTTGGGGGTGGGGAAGGTGTTTTGTGTGTGTGTGTTTCTTTTTTAAAAATATATATTTTATTTATTTCAGAGAGGAAGGGAGAGGGAGAGAAAGATAGAAACATCAATGATGAGAGACAATCATTGATCGGCTATCTCCTGCACTCCCCACACTGGGGATCGAGCTCACAACCCAGACATGTGCCCTGAACAGGAATCGAACTGTGACCTCCTGGTTCATAGGTCGATGCTCAACTGCTGAGCCACACTAGCCAGCTGTGTGTGTTTCTTTTATCAAGTGCATTTAGACTCACTCAGCATTGTCCTCTGGGAATAATTTCAAACTCCATATAGGTATATAGGCAAGAATTACCCAATTCAAATGGTAAAAAATCTACCATTTTCTTGAAATGTCTTATTTGATCAATATGATAAATTGTTTGGGACCATATAATGATCTTCTCACACTTACTAGAGGCTGATAGCTCAGAGAATTTCACCATAATAAAAACATATCAAATTTACACCTGGAATGTGTTATCACTTTAGTTAAAAATCAGAAAAATAGATAGAGATAATTAATTAAATTTGGTAATTTTAATTTGCCATTTATAAGCTATTTGTCATTTTTCAAACATTAGATAAACAGCTAATATAGAAAATAAAATTTACAGAACAGGTTTAGTAAATAGTGGGGTCAATAGAAGATACTTAAATATTAGATGTGAAGAAAAATGAAATCTAAGAATTATTTATATTTATGCAATACCCTGGATTAACATAGTGTGCCTGTGATAAACATATATAACAAAGTCAGTGAGAAACTCTAGAAGAAAATAATTGAAGAACTTGACTTAACGATGAAAGTTTAATGGGTAACTTGGCTAGGAAATAACTGAGGGAAAAATTCTAAAGAGGAGGAGGAATTATTTATTCAGCATAGAATAAGGGCTATAATTAGAGTGAAGTAAAATTAATAAGGAGCATACAGGTCAACCATTAGGATAGGGAAAAAAAGATTATAATACAAGCTTTGAGATATTAGCTGGGACTTTTAAGCCTGATCTTAAAAGTAAAATTTCGTAGACAAAAGAACAGCTTAAAAATGGTGTATTAGAATATCAGGCTTAGTCTCAATGTACTAATTTTGGTTTTGTCCACATAAAAAAACTAAAAATAAGTTCGGGGTTAAAATTAGTAGTTTAGTTCCTTCTAGAACATTTTTTTCTAGTTAGTTATTTGTGTATTTCAATTCTCCTTGGCTAGGTTAATTAGCATTTCTAGTTCCTAATTTTTAGATTCTTATAATCATTAAGGTCTCATTCACTTTTAAAATTCTGATTCTTTTAAGCAAGTTTATTTATTTTCAAAAGTTTATAGTGAGAGAGTATCAGTAGAGAAAGAAAAATTTTGATTTCGGACAAAAACTTCTTCAGTAAATTTTATTATTCATATAATTTTATGCATAGATTTACATGTGGGCACATACAGTGGGTTCCTAAAGAAAAAAGTGATTACAGAATGATAATATTCTCACATTGTCATAACATTTTTTTCTTATCTAAACATTTAAACATATCCTTTGCAAAATTATAGTGAAATGAACCCATTAACCTTAAAAATCATGGGTCTCAAGAAAGATATGTAATGAGCACAGACACCAGATGGAGGACTGTTCTTAAATCAAAATGATTGCCAGCAATATGTGTGAAACAAATTGTAAAGATATAATTTGAAATTTTATCATGAGAAACCCCACCCCTTACTAACCCCCAAAAGAGTTTAGGGAAGAAGAGAGCTAATATTCAGTTGGTCATTGCCAATTTTTTGTAGACAATTTTGAAGAAATTTTATATGACATTCTTATATTTTTTCGCTTTTTCCTAAATTTAGTTTGTCAATAATAGTTTTAAAAATCTATACATGTAAATTAAATATCTCATGTAATACATACCTGTAAACATTTAGGTGTCTTCAGTTATTATAATTACAAATAAAATAATATTTTGTAGATTTAATAATTATTTACATTTATTTGAAATTACTTGCAAATTTATGAAGTTGCAAATTTCTTAACAAAGCTGCTACTGTTCTTTATTCCAACATTTTCACATTTTAGCTGAAATAGACTTTGATTGAAAATTTTTTGTTACCTGCAAGTTTTTTAAGCAGCTATATTTTACCAAATTTATTTATAATAATATATAGGATAACTCCCAAATGCATTTTGCGGGAATATACATTTCACTTCCTTTTTTTAGAAGCTTTTGTACATAATTTACTCTTAAGCTAAACTAAGTTCATAAATATGAGCTAAAAAGACATTTTATTAGAAAATCTGGGCAAACATTATATTTATGCTTATAATTTGATTAACACTCTAGGAGGAAAAAAATTTTCTCAGCCCTCTTAAGGTCTCTGGCTGGGTCTGAAAATTAAACTGACAAAGATTAACAAGTGAAAGCATACAAATGTATCTAATATGTTTTATATGATGTGGTAGCCTCCATAAAGAAATGAAGACGCAAAGAAATGGTGAAACCTACCTGCTTTTATAAGAGAAGCATTTGTGCAAAAGTGACTAACTTATGTAGGGAGGCTAAAGGATGATTAAGATTATCTTAGCATGGTCTGCTAGTACCGAATTCTCTTGCTCTCAACTTCTCACTCTTGATAAGAATGCTTCTTTCTGGTACGGGGAGGACATCTTTTACATAGGAGTTTCATATCTTGATTTTTTTTTGGGGGGGGTGGGGGGAGGTCACAATGTTTCTTCTGTATTTGCTGCTTTCCAAGTGTCTTCTATTCAAAATAGTCAATATGACCAAGTGGCATATTTTGGGGTGACATGCTCTGAACAACATCAGGAACCTCTGGCAGCATCAGCATTTAGGAATGTGGCCATAAAAAAAACAGGAAATCCAAACCACAGTCGCTTAAGCAAAGCAGGTTTATTTGTCTGAAAAAAAAAAAAAAAAAGAAAAGAAAGCTACAGGTACAGTCGCTTAAGCAAAACAGGTTTATTTGTCTCAAATAAAAAGAAAGCTACAGGTGGACAGGACCGGGATTGTGCAAGGCCTCAGTACCTTCAGGGATGCCTGCTCCCTATTCCCTGCTCTGCCATTTATCGTGTTTACTTTCTTATTCATTCTTATTACCCAATGTTCTGAAGGGGGCTATTGCAACTCTAGGCATCCACTCTTCATTGCAGAAGAGCAAAAGGTAAAGATGAATGCCAGATGAGTCCATCGTTCTTCAGAAAACAAAAACTTTTTCAGAAACCACACTTGGAATATTTTCTCTTACATGTTATTATCCTAAGTAGCCACAGCAAGCTGAAAGATAACTAGTAAGTAGGGCTTGTGGATTGTGGTTATATCAATCAACCAACAGCACCAAAACATAGAAATACACAAATTATAGTTTACAGTATTTTTGTTATAAAAGCAACATGGCCTTCTTGGAGAAAATATGAAAATATACATAAGATAAAAGGAGAAAATTAAATTGTATTTTTAAATTAAACTTAAAAATACAATTTAATTTTCTCTGTCAGACAACATTTGAACTTATACATATCCACATATGTCTACACACAAGAGTATGTTCATGTTCTTGCATATTTTAAATTACATGATTTCATGGAGGTAGGCACACAGAAAAGTACACAAACCATAATTGTGTAGCTGGTCTTTTCTTTCTCTAATTTTGGCCTCCTCCCTCAGTGATCTCCCCCACACTGACAGAGCAGGTGGAGGGCATGTGCTGTACGCAGGAATTGATTAGAGAGAACAGTCAGTGTCCAGCTTGAGTCACATGTGAATATGTTCCTGGATTGTGCAAAAGATACTGACCTACATACTCCTCTCTGGTTGCAGCAGACCAGGGATTTACCTTTTAGGCAGGTAGCACATATTACTAGTAGGTTTACCTGTTTACCATTTCCTTAGGCTGTATAATTACTTAGTGGTGTACATGGTCCTCAAATTCTTGGTTTAGATGTGAACCCAGAAAATTACTAATGTGATATTTTCTGGTAACATTTGCTTACCTGAAAATACCTAGTTGACACATAGTGTGATTTTATAATGCACTAGTCTTTTTTTCTAGAGAGTGATAAAAATCTACAGGAATGTTACATTTCAGAGAAAAAGGGGTGCATATACAAACAAAAGCTTGCCACCCATAAGATTTGATCAAAATAAAGGTAAAATCACTTTCTCAAAGTTAGCCTTTAGTAAATACTTAACATTTTCAAGATGCTTTTCCTTTGATAGCATCATTTGTTTTTTCTGTTTTTGAGCTTCCTCCTCTTCTTCTTTTTTTTTTTTTTTTTGTTTTTGGAAAACTAAGGAATAGGAATAGGAACAGAGATGCTTTTCAGAGAGACAAATGCCACAATTAACAAGTAACTGACAATACAGTAAAAATAGCTCCTCTCACATTTAATCTTTTTCTTTTCACTTTAAGACCTCAACTGCCACAGTAAACATAGTGGTGTCAGATGTGAATGACAATGATCCAGTGTTTGATCCCTATCTGCCTAGAAATCTGTCTGTGGTGGAAGAAGAAGCCAATGCCTTTGTGGGTCAAGTCAGGGTAAGTGGAGTATGTGTTAGGCGATGGGGCACCAGAATTATTTGAAAGCCGTCAGTGAGAGTACTTGGCTATAATGCAGGGTGGGGATAAAGTGCATGTATTCTCAATTACTGTGCCAGACATCTTTCAAGATATTTTTTTTTAATAATATCATTTCCATTTGCTGTTTAACTTTTAAGATTTAGTTAATTGACATTTTATAACCATAGTATAATTTAACAGTGATTCATTTAAGAGTATTCTATTTTAATTTAATTTATTTTATTTTCTGGAATTATAATAAAGTGTTTTACAATAAATATGTAACTAGCTATATTATAAAGTATAAATTTGAAAATACATACCTCAAAATACAAATGCTTAGATGTAAATTATTTTTGGTGTCTGAATATGTCTTTAGCATCTACTCTGTACCTTATGTAATAACACACAACCTTTGTCCAGCATACTCAACACTCATTTCTAGGCATGTTCTCCTAATTTCTAACTGGACATACTACTCAATTTCTGTAGTTGTTTTGATGAAAAATCCAGTTTAAATAAAAATCAGAGACAGCACAGTATTTCTCAGTTAGGCCATGATTGGTTTTGAACATAGTTAATGGTTTAGAAGCCGCAAATGAGGGCCAGTTTTGAGGAAGGTGTACATATTTTGAGGCATCTAGCTCAGCTGAGGCATTGATATGGTCTCCAGGCAAGGAAGATACCTCCTCTGGAAGGAGTGAGTCACTCAGGCATCCTGAGCCTGTTTCAGGATCCCACCTCTTCCCTGGTAAGGCCCTGGGTTTTGAATAGGAGGTTTGCTGGTGCTTAGAAGTAAGACTTCTTTACGATTCAGCTACCCGTACAATCAGGCAAAGGGTCTGGTTTTCATTCAATATTTTCTCTGGCTGCAAAAAAAGAGGATTTCTTTAAATGCTGTATTAGAGTCCTTCTGACTTTCATACCATGTCCTGACATTTTGAAAGGTTAGGTTGAGCCCCTCAGTTTTTCTCTCAGAGCAGACGGATAATATAAAAGCTACCAACTCCACAGTTAGTACTGCTCTCATCTTCACTGTCTCTCTCAAATCCTGGAGACACTGCATGAGGCGCACATCTCCTTATACCTTTATGTCATCCCACTTCACGACAGGAAAGAGTCTTAGTAACTGAGCTGTTAACATCATGCCAACAGGTCTTGATGCCATGTGAACAGCAAGCCACTCAACTCCAGAACCCTATACAATACCTCTGGTGTCACACATTTTACTGTGGATTCTACAAGAAGAAACCTAGATGCAAAGATTCTGGTCTAACTAGTTATTCGAGAAGTTCACGTTAACACTAATAGGGAAGTAAGGAAGTAATGCAAGAAGCCATGGATGCCAGTGACGGGATTGCTATTAACCATCTATCATAGGAGGGCTGGAGATTAATTTCAAGGGCAATGGGCAATGGCATAAAACACCTTTTCCAGAAGTATTGATCCCAAGATGTTACGGCCAAAGGTGATCCTGAGTGGGAGGGTGAAAGGATTGAGAAAAGACAGACAAGAGAATGAAAGCTGGGTCTCGGTGGGACGCTGCTCCCTGATGAGGAGACAGTGC